CGTTTTCTTCTTAGAAGAGAAGTCGGGACATTACAAGGTTATGAAGGAGAATGGAAACAGCAGTGGTTCCATGAGTTTGGAGGGAAGAGTAGTATGGCAACTCGAGGGAGGCACTTCATCAGCGCGTTCATCACCAAGAGAAAAAGTTCTCTTTCCTTTTCTTTAGTTGTAGGAAGCATTTTTGTTTAGTTGTACAATATATTTACATATTAGTTTACTTGTAAGAAGCATGATGATACTCTTTGATTTCATGTTTATATTATTAAACAATATCATAGAGTAATTTGTTAAGTTAAGACTAGATGGATCCAAACTCCATGTTCTTAGCTTAAATTAACTAAATGAGGTTTAATTCATTATTTTGCATGACGACTATGTTCTATTATTCTTAGAATGTTTTAGCTGTTTGATTGTGGAATTTATTATAGTAATATATCAAACAAAGAGAGTATGACATAGGATAATTTTAAATGCTAAAATGATCCTTGCATTTGAAGATCATTCAAGCAACCTATAGGATATATTCAAGCGACCTATAGGATATATCATGAATGGAATAAAACTAGTCCTAAAAAAGATTTTAAGAAATTTGTGTGGTCGGTTTAAATCTACCTTAGAGGGAGATTTAATTGTAAAAAGATTTCGTAGAACTTAATATATCTCAGTAAGAACCATATATGATTACCTCAAAAAGACATTCAGAAGCTAATTCTCATCAAGTAAGTTAATTAGACCTGAACTTATATAATTAAATAATTGGAAGTTCTACAATTGGATACATATTAATAATTAAACTCATTCCTTTAATATTCTTAATAGCCCATGTATAGGTGAAATCAAATCCCTAGCATATTACCTTCTATGGGAGGATTTGAGGTTGAGGGTCATGCCAACTACAAGATAGCCAAGAAATCATCCATGATAAAAAGATAAGCTTAAGGAGTGGGAAAAGGATATCTTGGGGGAGCAAAGAGGAAACGAGATGAGTCATTTTCTGAGTTCAAGAGACTAGATTGTTTGGAGGGAGAAGCAGGTTTGGGGAGAAAGGAGTTTGAGAGTAGAGATGGTATTCAGCTTGAATTGGCCAATTTATGGAATATGGAGGAATCGAATTGGAAACAGAAAGCCATATCAAAGTGGATTAGAGAGGGGGACAACAGAAACCTTTTCCATAGTGTGCGAGTCATCATAGAAGTGTCAATAATGTAGGAGGGTGGTTAAGGGGAATAAGGAACTAAGAGGGGAGACCATGCCATACTTTAAGGACTCATAGTCAGAAAATGCTCCATGGAAGCCCACACTTGATAACCTGAATTTTGACCGCTTAAGGGATCAAGATAGAACACTTCTAATTCGGGAAGTCACATAAGAGGATATTTATGAGGGTCTAACGAACTGCAAGGGTGATAAAGCCCTTGCTCCTTATGGTTTCAACACGAGTTTTTTTCAACGTAATTGGAAGATCATGAAGGATGATTCAATTGAACTATTTAAGGAATTTCATAGCACAAGCTCTTTGTTAAGAGTTTGGACTCCATATTCCAAAGATAGAAGGTGCATCAAATGGTAAAGATTTCAAGCTAGTTATTTTGGTGAATGGAGTTTACAAGATCATAGCAAAAGCATTGGAGAAGAGAATGGCTAAAGTGATGCAAATGGTCATTGGTGAGTGCCAACATGCTTTTGCGGTGGATAGACAAATATTGAATACTGCATTAATCACTAATGAGGTTGTTGATAGCCTTCCAAAAGGTGGGAAGAGATGGCTCTCGTGCAAGCATGCCATGGAAAAGGCTTATGACTACGTGACCTGGAGTTTCCTTCTTATCTACTGGATAGATTGGGTTCGGAGAAAAATGGTTGCTGGATAAAGGCTTGGCATTACTTCGGCATCTTTTGGAGATCCTTCCGCTTTTTAAAGCATCTAGGAGGCTAGATCGTGGATCCTCTTTCCCCTGTATCTTTCATTGCGGTATTGGAGGCTCTTAATAAACTCCTCTTAAGAGCTAGAGAGGTAGGTTTATTCAGAGGCTTGTGTATAGGGAAGGGAGAGGAGAGAGTGGAGGTGACCCACCTATTCTTTGCCAATGATACTTTATTATTATGTGAACTGAAGGATGTGGCTTTGGGCAACATTGGCGACGTGTTGCTACTTTTCGAGGCTATGTAGGGACTCAATATCAATATGACAAAGCGGGAGCTAATTATGATATCCTCGGGTCGAGTGTGTGAACTTGTCAATAAAGTATATAGGATTGTCCTTCGGAGTTAAGTTCAAGGAGATATCAATGAGGAACCCAGTGATAAACAGATTTGAATTGGAATTTGCTGGATGGAGGAGGGGCTTGCTTTCTAGAAGTGAAAAGGTGACCTTAATAAAAAGTGCACTAGCCAATGTTCCTATTTACATGATGTCCTTGCTACAATACCACCTAGCGTGACAACAAAGATTGGAGAAATCCAATATAACTTCCTATGGGGTGACAATGTAGAGAAAAGAATGTATCACTTGGTGGCCTGAGACAGACTGAAGCAACTTATACAGAAGAGTGGGTTAGGCTTGAGATCTCTAGCAAGTTTAATAGAGCTTTAGGAGGGAAGTGGTTATCGAGATTCATGGCAGAGCAAGGGAATTTTTGGAGAAGGGTAATGGAGGCGAGGCATGGGGTGGATGGTCAAGGATGGTTCTGTAAAATCCCTAGGCGACCGCATTGAATGGGAATATGGAAGAGAATCATAGGAAAGGGAGACTTTCAAGAGTGTTTTAGGTGGAGTCTGGGTCAAGAGAAAGAGTGAGATTTTGGAGGGGTGATCGGATGGAGAGGGCAGCTTTGTGTTATTAATTTCTCAATATTTATGCTGTTGCACACAATAGGGATGCAACTGTAGAGGATTCCTTAATAGGCCAGGCAACAATGAGATTTGGCAGATAGAGTTGAACAGAAACTTAAATGATTGGGAGATCTCAGAGTATATGAATTTAATGGAGATACTTTCATAGTTTAAGAGGGATCTCTCTATTGGAGATTCGTCATGCTAGAAATTTAACTCTTCATGTGTATTCTCTATGAAGTCTTATTATAGCCATCTGAATAGTAGTTCGGTAGAGGGTGAAGATTTTCCTAATAGGTTGATTTGGAAAGTAAAAGCAACCCAAGGATAGCCTTCTTCATGTGAGGTTTTTAGAGAATACATTCAAACTCTGGACAAGCTTTTAAAGAAGGGGAAAATTCTACTGAACATAGCTACTTGCACAAGAGATTAAACCTTATCCACTGGCTACCTTTAAGGTCATATGAAAAGAGAAAAATATAAGGGTTTTGAGGCATTGAATCTAATTTTGACATATTTAAGGATCCTTGAGTTTAGACCCTAAATTTTTTATCAAGGGGTCATCTACTTTATTCTAGTGAAAAACTTGGAGACCTTATAGATATTTGATATATTATAAATATTGTATACACATTGCATACACTTAGTGCTTTTGAATATACTTACATTTTATTTTCAAAATATATTATTAATCTTAATAGTTGCATAATTAGTTTTATTGATCATTTTTATCTCACTTTTAAATTCCTAAATTTGACATCTTAAATAACATCATTAGCATAATTATGGCAATAATGTACTTTAGTTCTCATGGGAATGATATTGTACTTATCAATTTATTAGTGCATTTGTTAGGGATTTTGTCGCATCATCAACCTCTCTGAGGGGAAAGGAAAAAGTTTTAACTTCTTCTCTCTAGTTTTCTTTTTGAACGAAAAGAGGAATCCCGCATCTGGGAGTAGAATCAAGATCATAAATTCAATCACCTGAAGAGAATTGGTATGTAGAACTGACCACTAAGGCAAGTGCCTTGTGGTTACTTCTCTCTTGCTTAACACACCAAACAGACAACATGCTGTTTTTTAATATAAATCTGACATCTCCTGAAAGATCTAATATATATATATACAGCAACCTTATTGAGAGACTACCATGTGGAAAGTGGGAAAGGCAGTGATGTAGCTGACACCAATTGCCACAACAGTAGCTTGCAAATGCAAGGGCAGAATTACCTTAAGTTTAGATTTTGAATCCTTTGCCTTCCCTTTCTTGAGCTTCTCCATTCTTTTCTCTATCTGCATTTGTTGAAGAAGATTTAATTTAGCTTTTGTGAGCTAGACTTTGAAGTGAATGTACTCTTGCAACCCACACGGATTAAAATAAGAACAAAAGACAACATACAGAATTTAACAGCAATGTGCCAACATCCAGGAGCCATCTGCGAATTTTTTGCAATTGAAGAACTTAATTTTACAATTAGACTTTTTTTTATATGAAAGTTTAAGGAGAAACCCAAAATTGAAACTTTAAAATAATAATAACAACAGAGCACCCCTTTACAAGGAGCTTTTATGAATAGTGATCTCTTTGAATATAAGACAGAAGCCTACAAATTTCACACTAGCAAATGGTATATTTCTTGAGTGGTAAGTAGTCTATAAATTGCTATGCAAGGAAACTTTATTCTGAGCTTTTGTTGAATCTGTTGGATTTTCTATCTTTATACACTTGTTTATATAACATCTGAACAAGAACATGAGACACAACCCAAAAAGTTTACACTAAGAAATGCAGCAAAACCTTAAAAAATTTGCCATAGGAGCAAAAGTTATACAAGCAAGTGAAATAAAACAAGATCCTCCTACCAGAATGGCAACCTTGCTTATCTTCTTTTAAGCAGGGAAAGCAATTAAATAAAGGTGCTATTGCTTTATCATTCATAATTCGAAATATCAATCAAAGGTGAGAGCAACACCATCAGGACTCAAAATCACATGATAATTCAGTGGGCATCTTAACCTTTTCCAAAAAGGTCCATATAGTAGATACATATTTATTGATATACCTGATCCAAATCTGAGAAAACAAGTTCTAGATTGATGACGTCAATGTCAGACTTCGGATCAACTTTGCCATTTACGTGAACAATGTCATTATCTTCGAAACAACGCACCACCTGTAACAATATTTCCTTCAATAACAAAATGCCAAAATAACAAAATGATAACATGATATCCATACATAAAAATCGAAAATTTAAAAAGATAAAATAATATGCTACATTCACGATCTCATTAGTGCCCTTCCGGTACATATCATATAGCAATATAGGGCAAGTGATATTGTGTCTCTAAGTATATAAATGAAGAGAAAATGAGAGCAATAGGGCTCATGAATCTGGTCAGTGCAAATGGTCGCTTCTACTCCACATGTCATCATTCCTCCTCTCCACAGCGTGGCTACTAGAGATAGGGCAAAAAAGTCCTCTGATGTTATCATTGAAGGGGCTGCTGCAGCTAAAGACATCCTCAAGGTTTTTGGAGTAGCTAGGGTTTCTAGACAATCTTTTCTATGCAGCCAGAAGACTGAGTGACTAATCAAGTCTCTGTTCTTTCAAGAAAACACCCTTAGCGAGAGCAGTGAACTATTTTTGTGGAAGCCATTTGAAATATATTTTTCTTATATTCCTTTCAAACAAATATACTTAGCTCAACTATGAAAAGATGAAAAATCAATTACAAATTTATTTCAAAGCAAGTTGAAATAATACATTTCAAATTCTAACAATTTTGATACGATTTAAACTATATTATACCAATTCCATTAGAAATTCATCAGACATAAATGGAGCACTCTGTAGTGTGAGGAGACAGGTTGGTGTCCGTTTAATGGGGCTTATGGCAAAGGGAAGGATAAGGAAGTGAAGGTTTCTTTACCATCTTTACTGCCTGCCATGGGATCAACAAAATTTTTATTAGGACAAATTTAAGGAAGATTAACTTTTTTAAGAGACCCTGTTACGGATTGCCAATGCGATTATGGAAAGGCTCAAATTCCCCGTCAGATATAGGTCGTCGTCTTGCCACTTAATCTATATCATTTTTGACACCTCTTTGTTATTACTCATTAGGTGCCATGCCGTATTCCTCCAAATAGGTGTTTCTCCCAAACAAAAATTGTAAGCCCTCCCATTCTTCTTCATCCTTACCCTCACCAACTTCCTCCTTCACTATATCTCTTCTTCCACCACCTAGGTCAAAATTCAGTTCTGCATCATCCACTTCAGAAAATTGAAAGACGAAATGTTATTAGAGAATCAATGTTATCATCCTCTTCCGTCTGTCTGACTCTTACTCCTCCGCTATAACTCAATAAATTTGTCTGCTCAGCCCCTTCCTTGATATTGCCTTTAGCTCTTCCACCAAAGCCACCACCTACCTCCGTGACTTCTTCTCTTTCATCCTTCCTTCCTTTTTTGACTAGCTATAAGTCGTTCTCTTGAGTCATCTCTGCCCGACCAAATCAGGCAGCTAATCACGACTATGGATTGCATCCAAACATTCTTTGAATTTTCTTCTTGTTCCTTCTTTGCACCTTCAAGCTGCCCTGTTCAGTTTTCCCATCAACTTGCTTCCTAGCATCAATCACTGTCTCCCTTCTATCATGGGGCATTGTCAGTTCTACATGCGTCTTTAGCTCCAGTTTGGGCTACCACACACCCTCGGTTGGTTGTTTCGACCTGGCCCAGTTTCTTCCTTCCAAATTGGCTTCCTCTGCTGCATTTTGATGGATCGAACTATGGCATAGAAAGAACACTTGGACCTGTAAAACTGAATCCCTATTTGACACAAATTGATTGCATATCTTCCTTGATCGCATCCTCAGCTATGTCTTCTTTGGTTCACATATAACTTATTTCCAGGACTAATTTCAGCTTTTTTGAAAATTCAATCTTCAGCAGCTCCTCTATTTCGGGCACTCTACCTTCTTTGGTCTTCTTCAAGCTTCCCCCTCCTACAACCTCCTTATTGTCCACTCAACTTCCGTTCACCACCCACAAGCTAACGGAAGCAAGTACATTCAACAATCAGTCAACATATTTATCTACAGAAGAGGGAGAGAAGAATATCTCACTAGAAAAATCACCCAACAAAGCGTCAAAGACCCAAAGTTCTGAACTTAGAAAACCAAGAATAATATGGTCATGTCATAACTAATTAATTTCATGACAAATGATATCAGTGAGAATTTCTTGTTGTACAGGACAACAAACGAATTTTGGAAAGCAGTTCAAGAATTCTACTTGAGCAAAGAAAACACATCAAAATTTTTGTTATTGAATTTAGCCTCCATGACATGCAACAAGGAAATCTATCTGTAATCCAATACTATGATATGCTCACCCGTCACAAGTAATGATTTGATGTGTTTGAGGAATTGCCCAGATAATACAAAACAGTACAGAGAAATTTCAGAGAGAAATTTCGTAAAGAAAAATAATTTTCAAATTTCTCATAAGATCAAATAAAAATCTGAAACTCGAGGAAAAATACTCGGAATGAAACCATTACTTATTACTTATAAAGTATTTTCCAAAGTAAGGAGAGAAGAAAGAAAAAAAAAAAAGATAATGGCGAGAGATGGATTCATAAGTCCTACTATTGAGGCAGATCAGGTGGTACCTGATAAGTACCTGATCGACAAGTCCTACTATTGGACTTGGATCATGAGGCATTAGCCTCAGGCGGATAAGGTAGTACCTGATTAACCTCTGATCACCGTGTGTGGTCAAGGCTCCATTGAAGCGGAACCTTGGGTGTGAAACGAAAATTGCTGGTTAGGTTGGTCCAACCAAGAAAGGCATGGGAGTCTTTGGGCATTACTGGGGCTACTAAGTCAAGCTTGGGCTGAGTTAAGTAAAGACTGACTACCTCCCTCAATGCACACTTTTTATATATTTGTCCCCATTATGGGCTGCATGCTATCTTCGATAGATCAATGGGAGGTTACAATTCCAAAGGAACTCTTACTTTTTAAAAAAAAAAAATCTTTATACATAGGAACTTTCAATGTACGAAACATCTTTGTTTCTTAAGAATGAAATAAAGGATTCTTTTGAAGAACAAGAAATATTTGATTTCCAATTAATACATAAACTCCCTTTTAATTACGAAAAATTTTATGAAAAAACTAGTTAAGAAGTCATCATCAATATGATTTACCTAATATTAGATTACCTATATTAGTATTAGAAAAATGGCGAAATAGAGTCAATAAGCCTTAGTCGACCCTGGAGGACAATAATTTGCTTTTCCAACCTGAGATTCTCTTTTTCATTTTCTCTAGTAGAGGAAGGCATTGCTCTCTCTTTATTATCTACATTCTTTAAATCTCAAAACTTTTTTAGTCCTCTTTTTCAATGGGGGGAAGGGGCTCGGTATTTGAAAAAGAAAATATTGAAAAAAATTCTGATGATTACACAGAGAATGAAACTGCAACCTTTAATCTTGATATTCTTGATAA